AACCTTCACAATGCAGGTTCAATTCTGTTGGAACCATTTCTGCTTTGTTACCCATGACAGTTATCCTTGCTTCTCAGAGGTCTATCAGATTAAGTTTCCTTGTCCACTGCAACAAGGCCACCATAAAATTCCCCAATATGCTGTAATACATCCTCTTTCCAGAGATCAAATGGGAGACCAATAATGCTCCTCAATGTGTTGTAACACGACCTCCTTCCAGAGATTGAATGGGAGACCAATAATGCTCACCTCAATTTTCTTGGGCAGATTTCCCTGCGGTGCTATGTTTGTTGCTAGGCAACACCTGGAAATCATCATTAAACCAACTCTATCTGCAACATTTCTGCATTGTTTACTATTTCCTTTCCAAGGTTGAGAAGCAATAAATCAATTATCTTCAAATGATCTCAGGTCAAGCTTCAATTCTATATGAAACCTTTTCCTTAAAGTTTCTTCTATTTCTTTCCAGTCAGATGCTTTGTTCTTCAGCGAGGCCAGTAGCCTGTTCTCTCATCCACTCCTTATTTCTATACCATAATCATCAGTTCTGATGGCAAAACTGTCATAGTCATAGATCTTTGGTGTCCTACATTCAGCTGCTTCTTTTGTTCCTTGACCAGAGATCTTGTGTATCACTACTGCCATAGTTGATAGTTTCCAGCTTCTATGAAGCTCTACAGTATATCAGAAAAACTTTTGATCTACCTGAAAGTTTGCCTTAAGTAAGGTAATTGGCTAGCTTTTCTTTCGTATAAAGCATTCTATTATCCAGATGAAATCTTCCTGTTTTGGTCTTCCCCATTTATAAATATCACCCCTTCCCACTTATCTGATTACTTCACTGGGTTCTATATGTTGCATGGATAAATCCATCAATGAAGCCTTTAAACCAAGAGATTCCTTCTTTATCCAGAAAGACAGTCCCCCTACCTCCTTTGATCTTCAGGGCTACTCCTTCACATCCTTTAACCTCTTCTAACAGAAAGGATTTGGCTTCGTAGCTGAAAACTATTCTCCACTTCATTGCTGGCATGAACTTCCTCCCGTACAAAACACATATTATATGTGAATTTGCCAACCATGGTCTAGACACAACTAGTCAAAATGAAATATTACATCTGTGATCCACATCATAAAAAACATATTCTAAAACTAAAACTGAATGCCCAAAATGCTCAAAAGTTGGGATGCAAACCCTCCTCAAATTTTGTTTAGCAAAACAATCCCTCCTCAAGATGACTAGATTTCCAAGTTAAAATCATTCGTGGAAAAAATTCAATGTACCCATAGTGTTTTTTTTCCCGTCGGTTGAGCTAGTTGGTAAACATTTTTCCTACTACAATATTAGCATAACAAGTGCATTGGCACTGTCTCTATGCATCCAACAAATTTTTTTATGGTAAGCTGGGTAAGAATACATGCACTCATGATACAATTATAGCATGTCAATCAATTCAGTACCAAAAATTCTAGAATCTTTTGGACAAACAAATTCTAGAGTTTGTTCGACAGTTTCTGGAGAACTCAAAAAGCTTTGGAATCTGTTTGTTCAACTAGTTCTTAAGCAACAATATAGAACGGAATTCAGAAAACTTAGCAACAAACAATATTAAAAATATTTTCGTGCAGTAGTTGGAAAATCAAACTCCAAAACCAGAAAGAAACAATTATAAAATATAAAATAGCCACTTTCTAAACATTAGAGCAATTTCGTAATCCCCAACATAAGGAAGAAAAAAGGAGAAAAGAAAGTCGGTACAAACCGGAATTCCTCTTCCAAAAAATAATAAAAACGAACAGTATGGAAGAAGGTATAAAGTAAGAGGGAAAATCACCTGCTTTTCAATGTTCCGAAGCTCTTCCTGAAGCTTCTCTCTCTTGCTCATTAGAGATGCGAGCATGGCGGAGGGGTTCGACGAGGTTCGTTGCCCTGCCAAAAAAAAAAAGTCAATGTAGAGATAATAACAGAAATTCAAATTCGACAAACAAACCGTTCAAATGCTGGGATGGCAGGGAAAGAGATGGAACAGGTTGGTAACAAATACCTTCAGTTTCCATTTTCGCGCGAAGATTCAAATCCTCCGACAAAACTAAAAACTAAAAAGCCCCTCTTCCAATTGAAGTCGCCCTTTATTGCGCTCTTTTTCCTTGCTCGAACTCGCTATAAAACGAGTAGGACGAACGCTAGGGCACGAGCCGCTATTTTGAGCTACCTCCGGTCCAGAGTCCAGACTCGGTTGAATTATTGAATCTCCGTTCAAACGTCAAAAGTTAAAATGTTTCTCCACCGTGCATTGGGCACATCTCCCGTGAATAATAATTTATAATTACGGGAGATGATCCCAATGCAAGGATGTGCGTGTGAGGTCAGTGTGAGACGTCCTGTGTGAGGAGCAGATCCGGTCCCGTTATGGAGCACGGATGGATCAAATTACACGTGTATCAAGGGTTGCAAATGAATCGTATCGAATTTTTTTGTAAACGAATCGTATCGGATCGGAAACTAGTATATTCAAACCCATTCATTTTATATTCAGGCTCGAATCGAATCAATTCAAATGCAATGTTAGTTTTTTGGATTTTGAGGGGGGAATTGGTTAATGGGATTTTTGGTTTCCATTGACCAAGATATCTATATTCTTTTTTCAAATTTATGTGGGATTCATGAAAATTTTATTTTCGTTGGATATTACTTACTTGGGGTAAGTGATACCCATCCCACATGGGGTAGTTGCCAACACTTGGATGGGACAAATTTCCCATATAATAGTGTTTTTATGACTAAAACAGTCATTGTTTTATTTACCTAAAAAATAAAATGGTGGATTTCTTAAACTACCCCAAAGCCTTAGGAAATTGACTAACTATATCCCTACGATTTCAGCATTGTCTTAAAGTACCCCTACTATTTATAACAATTGTCTAAAACCTCCCCTACCGTTAACTTTTCGTCACATTCGATCACATATGCCATCACGCGACCAATTTGTTTTCAAAAATACCCTTAGGAATATTTCTCTCTCTCTCTCTCTCTCTTTCCCTCTTCTTTTTTCTGCTCTGTCATCGCTTCTCTGGAAGAACAGGGTTGCTGCAATAGAAGGAGCCAGCACTTCCTTGTCATCTGCATTGGTTTCATTACAGATTGGTTCAGATAAATCCATCCCCAGCCCACTGAATAAACCCTAAGTGAGCCCCACCAAGACTCTTCTCCAAGATTTGGGCGTACAAAGAGCTCCTATGGTCATAGGAGATATGAATCGAGGTTGTTTATTTTCTTTGGCAAGATCTTGAAGATGCAGTGACCAAGAGCCCTTGTGGGCTCCAAGATCTAGATAAGCCAAAGAGCTCCTGGTTGCCCACTACTGAGCAAACCAACGGCAACCCTTCTTCCCTGATTTCTTCTCTCTTCTTTCTATATTCTTGTCCATTATAATCTTCTTCCTATTCTTTTCTTTGTCGCAACTACTCCCCCTGTTTCCGTTTTTCTCCATCAAAGTTCCAATAGCGGCTCTCTCCGCCACCCACCTTTATCTCATATCTCTCACTTGCTCTTGGTCTCTCTCCCTCACTCTCTTTTTCATCTTTGTTTTCTCGATCTGTCAACAAAAACCCGACCCCCTGTTCCATTCCATCTGCCTTCCTTTGTTTTTACTCGCCACTACGAACCCGACCTCCTGAGGGTCTTGCCTATCTCTATTCTACCGTCGTGCCATCCATCTTTCATCATGGCATCCTCCCTCCACCGAATCGCTCTCCTCTCTGATGGTTGAGCAATGCCCCACATTGCTCTAGTGGTTGCAACAACACCCCACATCACCGTCATCGCTTTAATATCAACCTCTTCGCTGCCCCCACATCGCCACCACCACTTTGTCGAACCGGAGACCCACCTCGCGCACCCAAACCCCTTCTTCCCGAGTCCTTCAATTTACGATAACCCTCCGGGTCTTGCTTGGACCGAAACAATGGGGGTTTTCATCGTATTAGGGTGGAGATGTGGGGAGAGTTCCACCACTGTTGGTTTGATTTGCATATGTAGTTAGAAAGCAAGGGAGACAAAAAAAAAAGCAGTGGGAAGAAGAAGAAGAAGAAGAAGAAGAAGGACTTTAAGACAGTAGGGGTACTTTAAGAAGGACTGAACCAGGGATCCCTTTCTTCTCCCTATCTCATCACTGAAATGGCGGAAGGACTGAATAGTAGAGCAGACCAAGGCATCCGATGACAACGATGGAGAAGCAGAGCAAAGAGAGAAAGAAAGCCTTCAAAAATCAGGCTTCAGCTTCTTCGGGTTGTTCGGTGCTTACCCAAATAAGCGATAACACTAGCAATTCTTGAAACTTTCATGCTTGTTGCAGAATTGAAAAACGTGAAAACATGCCAGAGAAGGAGGAACTAAGGTTTATGGGTTCCATTTCCAAGAGATGATGCCATAGTGATAAGGGTTTAAATAAAATAGGGCTACTGACGATGCTTGCGATGGGATTGCCGGTGGAGCTTGAAGATCACCGACGATGTCTTCCATTGATCCAGGAGTTTGAGTTTTCTGAGTGATGGGCAAAATCATCTTTTTAACCCTTCCGTTAATGAACACTGATGATAAGAAAGATTTAGTTAATTGTCAAAAACAATAGGGGTACTTTAAGACAATACTGAAACAGTCAGGGTAGAGTTAGTTAATTTCCTAAATCTTAGGGGTAATTTAAGAAATTTGCCCAAAATAAAAAAGAACATGGGTAAATGCACTTACCCAGCAAGTGTTTCTTAAGAAATATTTACTTGGTAACTTCTCAAAAAGCAAATGGGGCCCAAGAATTAGGAAGACACCCCTTGCTACACATAATAATCCTTATTTAGTGGAGATGAATCCTATTTTAATCAGTGTTTTAAAAATTGAACCAAAGTTTGACCCGGTTTCTTATCTGCACTACAGGAAAAATGCCATATACCAACAAAAGTTTGGTGTATGCCGATGGTTTATGTTTGTCAATATATGTTAAATTTCTTATGGTGTGGGTGATGGGCCATCAGTTCAATGTCCAGGTTGAATAAATCAACCCGTTACAACAAATAATAGGCTATATAGCCCTGAGAATTTTTTTTCTTTTTGGAAGCCCATTGAAACATTTCATTCAACATTTAACAAGATTACATATGTGAGGTGAGTATCTACTTTACAGATGATGGAGGTGATACCCAGGTTCTGGATAAAATATTGTTGATTAGAAAATTTAGCAAGATGGTAAGCTAATTTGTTACAACTTTGAAATGTATGTAGCACTACAGACTGAGAAAATGATGATAGTAGACCTCTAAATTCCTAAATAATGTAGTGAAGCCTCAAAGGAGGATCTGTATGAGAGTTTAGAGAAGATCCATAATATGCCATTGGCATTGCTCTCTATCTGTAGAGCTTGCAATATGCCAAACTTTTGGCCTTCTGCAAATCTTCAAAAAATTGCAAGAGCCTATGTTTCTTCCATAGAAGAGGATGGTACCAAACAGGCTCAACCAATTAGAAAGTGATTTTTGAATCACGAACAACAACTCCAATCGCCGTTATACAAGAGATGCCATGCTCCATGAATACTAATCTTGACAAAACCAATAGAAGGTTTTCTACAACCAAGTGTAGAAGTAGAAATATGCCTAACCAAAATTTGTTGTTGATTACTTGTTCTCTATAGATGATGTAAAAGTTTTGAAACAATGGGCTTGAATACAATAAACTAGATAAGACAAAGGAGATTCGGGCATTATAAAAAAATTATTCTATTTATAAGCTTCCAAATAAACCACATGGTAGCAGCAATCATCATGAAGCAATGCACAAGACCTGTCATGGAAGCATTATCAATTTGAATCCAAGTCTCAACCAGAATCTCCACCCTTACGAGTTATTATATAGTGAGGTCGAAGTCTAATTGGTAATGCAAACCATATAGGGTGCACCATTGAATAGACAAAAAAGATGGCATATGGTCTCAATCTCCTCATTAGAAAGTCTACAAATTGGATTGACATTAAGTGAGCATTTAGCCATTTCACTTCCCACTAGTAGATCACTTGTGCATACAACAATGCCATATGAAAAATTTTATGTGAAGGATAAGCAAAGGGAGTCTCTATCTATAAGGTCTTCCAAATAAGACCATAACACACCCCGGTAGCATTGGATGATCCTAAAATATGTTGGGTTAATTAAGAGCTTATAACCCGAATTGAATGTAAAATGACCATGAGAAATCAATAGCCATACAAGTTTATCGTCCTAAATTGGTGCATCCCTAGGAAGTAGGATAGAATGGATATCTTGAGATTCATTTATATTGAAGCGGTATGCAAACATGGAGGAATTCCAAGGTGATGTTGATCTATCAATAAGCAAAGCAACTCTTTCACATGTTGTGGGCTATGAGGGTGGTTTTCTAAATAAGGCTTGATGTCAACCACGGATCATCAAAAACACTCACGCTCCAACCAAAAGAAATCAACCACCTAGACCCTTTTAGTATATCATTTCTACAATCTAGTAAAGCTGCCCAAATAGGAGATCTTGAACTCTTTTGTTTTCCTCAAAAGATTTGTCCCTTAAGTATTTGCATTTAAGAACCTACACCCATAAGGAATTCTCTTCTTATAGGAAACACCAAGCAAGTTTCAATAATAGAAACTTGTTCATTATATTTAAATTCCTAAACCCCAAACATCCTTTTTTTTTCACTAGACATAAAAACAAATTCCATACTTTTAAATAAGGGAAATTATAGTGTGAACCAGCTGAACATTTAAAATATGTTGTAGATTGGTTCAAAAACCAACAAAACTCTAACAATCGGCTCTACACTTTAAATTATAAAAGCCCCTTCATGTCATCGGAGGCTTATGTGATTGTTGCCAACATGGGACTCTTAATCCATATTGGACACATTAAAAAGCCTATATTGAAATTGCCCTTAATGTTGGATTATTTAAAAAAAAGGGTTTTTAGTTTCTCTCCTACTCCCTTTGTCTTTTGATTTCCCTCCCACTCTCTCACTCTTATAGTCGTTGCTCTATGCTCAATGACTATATGATTTGAAAATAAACAAAAATGGTTTTCAATTTCTATATTTATGTCCTATTTGTCAATTTGGGTGTGTGTGTGCATCAATCTATCATTCTTCCTCAATATCTCTCATTCTATTTTTTTGTCAATCTCT